GTACGTTGAGAGGCTTAAAAATCTCAAACTAGTTTTCCAACTTACTGGCAACCAAGTTCAATTTCTAGAGCAAACCTTTTGATTTATTTTTCGGCCCATTTTCCAAAAAACACAATTTGCAACCTGGGGGATTGCCTTCTTTGTTTCGGATGTGTCATAGGGATTGTTCCTCAAGTTGTCGTTGATTTAACAGTATCTTTAACGTTGTTAAATAATTACCAAATAAAGAAGTTCAATATTTGAGAAATTTATTAAAAATAACAATATATTTTACCATTAAGATTACGTATATAAACACGATCAATTATTGTAGAAATCATATCATATTTTTAATATTACATTACTTTTTAATTTTTTTTCCATTTAAAATTTGACATCATGTATGGTACATAATATATATATTTCTTTAAAATGTATTTGTAACCTTAATCTCAACATATGATATTAAACATATGTCATCATTTGAATTATATTTGATGAATCATGATCATGACATTTAAAATTACAAGTGCATGATATTTTAAGTTAATTTATATAATTAAATAATAGAGAGTATGCTCTTTGTCATTTCGCTTAAAATTTTATTTGTCATAATTTGTAAATACATAAAGGTAATATAAATTGATAAAAGCAACTAGTACATTGCTCGCACACAGTACTTTTAAAAGGCAGCAAACTTCGTATGACAAATTTTTTTTTCCTTTCTTAGCTTTTATAAAATTAAAAGGGCGTTGCTTATTAAATATTTTAAAATTACCAATTGAAATAAAATTTTATTTGGCATTTGAATTAAAATATAGAATTATATTTTGTAAATATTTTCTCCAATTTTGATTGGAATAATCCAATAATTATTCTCAAACTTGGATACAGTTTGCACAAATAAACAACACTGATGTGATTAAATAAGAAGAAAAAATTATATGTTGGTGCCATATATTTTGAGTACATAAAATTAATTACATATCATATATTTTTAATAATTACTATATTATCATTAGATTAAACACGTAAAAGAACTAAATTTTAAGAAGTTTGGCATGTAAATTATTCATACTTTTTAACTTTTTTTATAATTAAAAAAAAAAATTAAAGAAAGAACATAAAAGATACAACTAAAAAACTTAATATCAAAACACAAGAAAATAATTTTAGGACGGCTGTACATTAATTTTTGTTAACTAATAACATCAGAAGTTTTGGTTGATAGTCCGATCTAAGTTGTCAAAGCTTTAAACTTCTTAAAATTCAAATCTTACATCTACTAACAATAATATATTACACTGCTAATTCTTGAAGGCATACGTGCATAAAGAGAAAACTTAAGGAACTTGTTCTTAGATTTGCTAGAAACAAAAATTTTTAAATGGGTAGTATAGTTTCTAATTAATGACAAAATCTAATACTAAATTTTACATAAATTGTACCAAACCTAACAGCAATTGTCTTGTCAATCCTCCCTCTCATCATTAGGGGAATTCGATACACCATCCTTCATTACCAAATTAACTTCACCATCAATGTATACATGTATATATGTTATGACAGCAGCTGCTCCTTTCTTTTATTTTCTTTGTTAACCACCGAAATTTTCATAATAAAAACAAAGATTTCCTTTCATGACATCTAACTGAGTTTATCCTACTTGTGTTCCCACTTCCTGATCTAGACTTTTGCAACATATTACAGTAGGCAATCTTTAGATTCAAGATTCAAGATTCAAGATACCTAAATTTCATGTACATATCGCGACAAAATTCTTACTTGATTTTCTCCCCTTCTTAACATTGCTAGTTATCCAAAGCAGGCAGCTTTTATAAATATGGGAAAGTAGCAGATATCATCCGAACCAAAATTTGATTAGGCTACTAGTAAAGACTAGATCAACCAAGGATATCGTTCAATATAGCCACATTTTTAAGAGACTGCATAGTTCAAGAGCGTTATTTTGTATGAACATCGATGAAGTCATTAGATCCATTAGCTGTCAATCCAAAAGCATCCCCCAAGTTGATCTTGCTTCTCATCGTCCTCCTCCCAATTCCTCCATTGCCTTTCCTCATCATTGCGGCAAATTCCCCATAATCGATTTGTCCATCCTGCAATACAAATCCTTCATCAGCTTATTTAAACAATAAAAAGACATTTTTGTTTCATTAGGAGAGAGACATTTATAAACACTGTACAGGAACATTTGTTTGGGGGCACATGGCGTAATTACTTCATAGACAAAGCCTGTGCACAACTCTTATTCATGATGATTGGGGATAACATAAAGCTACTAGTTTTTATCTTCTGACAAAAATGGCTAAAAATATGAGCAGATAGGTTTCATGATGAGGCTGGACAGAGAAGAAAACACTTACATTATCTTGATCTATTTCTTTGATCATCTCATCAAGGTGGGTATCATTCAAACCAAACTCTTTACAAGCTTGTTGGAGCTCATCGATTGTAATGTAACCACTACCATCTTTGTCAAAAAAGGAGAAGGCCGAGACTAAATTTTCCTCTCTCTCCAACTTATTTAAGTGAATAGTAGCAGCAAGGAATTCACCATAATCAATTGTCCCACTGTTGTCAATATCTGCCTGTGAAGTGCAAGCATTCACAAGATATCCATACCATTATCAAGCTTGATTGAGTGATCAGATAACAATTCATGGCCAGATTAGATCAGTATATAGAAAATTTTCTTACTGCATCCATGAGATCCCTGATCTCGGATTCCATAAGTTCAGAGCCAACACGCTGTAATCCATCTTTTAACTCATCAAATGTTATTGTTCCGCTGTTATCTGTGTCTATCATTTTGAACAACTCTTTCAAACCACCAATTTCTTCTTCAGAGAGCCTCTCTGCTATTACCTACAATTCAATTTGTTAGTTAATATACAGCTACAGCATCATAACCATAGGAAACTCCTTGACAGAAGCCAAATTAAACAGGCAACCAAACCATGAAAATTGTAATTATAGTCTCACAAACACCAAAATGTCAGTGTACTGTTCATAAGATCACTATCACTATGTATTGGAGCTTCCTTGCAAGAGTCCAAATTAAACAGGAAATTGTAGGGAGAAAAATAAAATGAAACATTTGATTATTTTTTTCCTCTAAAAAGTCTACTCTTCTTTCACATAAGGAAAATTTTGCATATAAAAGAATCAAAGCATTTCAAAATATTATCATTAAATTGGTAAAGAGAAACATTCCATTTACACATGCTAGACTGCACTAACATAAATTAGCTGTCCGCTTTGAATCACTAGATGATATTAATTACTCATAGACCCTACTGAAAATAATTTGTTACACAGGAGGTTAGATCCTTGAGGATGAGTCCTGAGTTCATCCGATGTGCATGGCAAGCCAGTGATTACATACCTTCGAGGTTTACAATATAAATTACCAAACAGTTTTCTCTTGTTACCCAAAAGAGGAAATATGGCAGGTATTATTAATCTTCTGCTGAAGCAAGTAACTCAAAAAGGAATCAAAGCAATAACAGCCAAAACTGCAATGCAGGTAATGAGCACATATACACACTGCTTTTGTGGTAATTCTGTTTTTTCTTCCATAGAATATAGCATTCCATATTAATCAAGGATCTCTGACCATATGGATATGGTTAATCTCAACGAGTAATGGTAACTATTTTTTTAATCTTCGGTAAGTTTCCGAAAGAACAATTTCCCACATTGGGAAGTAACAGCTTTTATAAACAGAAAAACCTAATAATACAACTCTAATGATTTCAGTTCAAATACATCAAATTGTTCTTAAGCTTCATTTTATCCATTCAACCCCAATTAAATGCTTTATCAGCCTACAAACAGACACAAGCTTATTACCAATAAAAGTCATCCCAGACTATCATTCAGCACACCCAAATTATCACCTAAAAACTTGATGTGGAAGAATTTGCTATGGGTTCTAAGCATACCCAAAGTAGCAGCAGTAGCAAATGTTTCACATTTGTTAATAAAAGAATCAACCAATATCTATACTCTGAAATTCTAGGCAATGCTTATATCATAAAAAGCCTAAGCCACAGTATACAAATATGATAAATTAAAAACCTTTTATTCTCAACTTCAGAAAGTCTATAAATTAATCAGATTTAAGCTCATCATTGGTTAGGTCTTTCTAAAATTATCATATGTCAAGGGACTTTCAGGTAACTTATTATAATAGCTTGAACATTTATCGAAACCTTACTCGTAAAGCCATCTTCTTAAGTTTATTCATTGCTGAAAATTGCTTCAATCGAGACAGTACTGCAGAATCAAGAGGTTTATCTGGGGCAATTGTGTCATCTACAATCCAGGGGTGACCTAACACATGAGGATCAAGTCAGCATCAAAATATCATGAAAATTATTATCAATAGCTTTGTTAGAAACTCAGCATACATGTCTTATAAATCGTAACATGCTGCATAGCCTTATAGAATTGAAACGGACTCACATAATACTCCATGAGCAGTTAGTCTTCTCTTTGGATTCCGATCAAGCATTTTCCTAATGAGATCTTTTGCA